GGTAGAGTGCCATGGCATCGCAGCTTGCTTCAGCATCACATTCTCTTGCCTCAGCCTCCCAAGTAGCTGGGACTACAGGCGCTTGCCACAATGCCCGGCTATTTTTTGGCTGGAGTTGTCATTGTTGTTTGGCAGGCCTGGGCTGGGTTTGAACCTGCCAGCTCTGGTGTATATGGCTGGCACCCTAGCTGCTGAGCTACAGGCGCAGAGCCAATTTTTTTACTTTTGATGAGCTTATCAGGACATAAGTTGAGGAACATCTGTATTATGAGGGGATTAAGTAATGACATGATAGAAACGCCTAGAAAAACTTTTCAGGAAACTTTTGGGAGGAGGTGATTCTAGAGTTAAATCTTTGATTCTGAAAGTTTGAGTGGAAGTTAACTAAGCAAAGAAGATGCAATAAGATGCCTTGGGAAGTGGAAAGAATATGGCCAAAGTGCAGAGGTAGGAGAACATTGAATATTAAAGAATCTGGAAATAATACAGAATGACCATAGGCTAATAAGAAATCGGGAGTGAAGCCACGGGCAGTCACACATCCCAGTTTAGATTTAGTCCTACAGATAATACAAGTCCACTGACAGATTTTAAGTAGGAGAACAATATGATAAGCTTCACATTTCAGATACTTGGCCTTTCAATATGGTCTGGAGAAAGGGTGATGTGCTGGTTATTTTCTCTTTGTCACCTAGATTCATTCTCTGCCTTTCTCTGGTAAGCCCTATGCCTCTAGAGGTTCTTTACTTAGCTTCTTTAAGGGCTGTCTGTGGTTGGGTTTGGCTTAAAAAAGGGATGTCTAACCTTTTTTTCTCCGCTGCACAGTAGAAGAATGAGAGTCGTCTTGGGTCACACATTAGATACACAAACACTAAGAAAAGCTGATTAGCTATGTTAACCAGTTTGATGGAAGTGTTTCGGATTGTGTGTGAAAACCCTACACTGTACCCCAGAAGTGCATTAATGTGCATAGTTACCATTCAATAAAAAAAAGAAAGAAAGAAAAGAAAAGCTGATTAGCAAGAAAAAAGGTCTGTGCACACTTTTCCTGATAGCCCACACCATAGTTAAGCCAAAAAGGCCTCACAAATTCAGCATGTGGACCTGCAGCAAAGATATGAGAAGACGGGTAGAAAGTGAAATTGGGGCATTTCTTCCCCACTTCTTCCCTCTCCTGATGTCATACCTCCAGCAATAGTTTCATCCCTTCACGACAAAAGTGCCTGCCAGATAGCCCTTTCTCTGAGGCTGTATTTTCGCTGTGGTCTGGTAACTGTATTTCCTCCCTTGTGTCTTTAGCTCCTCCTCTGTACCTAGTCTCGGAGTGCCTCATCATCTATTATTTGTACCCTTACTACTGTTCTCCCTCCTTTCATTAAAGTATTTTCATATGAACTGTCCTGCAAATTGTGTTTCTGTCTGAGGTCTAATTTGAGTTCTTTGAGGATCCTCCATACTTCCATCCAAAAATCAGCAGTGTAAAAGTTTTCCCTTCTCTCCACATCCACGGCAGCATCTGCCCCTTTGAGCCTTTGTAATGTGGGCTATTGTCATGGGGGTTAGGTGATATGTCACGGTGGGTTTGATTTGCATTTCTCTGATGATTAGGGACCATAAGCATTTTTTCATGTTTGTTAGCCTTTTTTCTGTCTTCTTTAGAGAAGGTTCTATTTATGTCTCTTGCCCAGTGACATAAGGAATTGTTGGCTCTTTTTTTGTTGATTAATTTGAGTTCTCTGCAGATCCTAATCATCAAGCTTTTATCTGATTTATAACAGGCAAATATCCTTTCCCATTGTCCAGGTTGTCTGCTTGCTTTGATTGTTTTCTCCTTAGCTATACAGAAGCTATTCAGTTTAACTAAGTCCCATTTGTTTATTTTTGTTGTTCAACTGCCACAGAAGACTTCCTCATATAAAATCTTTCTCCAAGCCGGTATCTTTAAGTGTTTTCCCCATGCTTTCTTTGAGATTTTTATTGTTTCATGCCTTAGATTTAAATCTTTTATCCATCTTGAATCAATTTTTGTACATGGTGAAAGGTGCAGGTCCAGTTTCAATCTTTTTTTTTTTTTTTTTTGAGACAGAGTCTCACTATGTCACCCTTAGTAGAGTGCCGTAGCATCACAGCTCACAGCAACCTCAAATTCTTGGGCTTATTGATGCTCTTGCCTCAGCCTCCCAAGTAGCTGGGACCACAGGCACCTACCACAACGCCCAGCTATTTTTTTTTTCTGTTGTTGCTATAGTTGTCATTGTTGTTTGGCAGGCCCAAGCAGAGTTTGAACCCACCAGCCCTGGTGTACCTGGCCAGTGCCCTAGCTGCTGAGCTACAGGCACTGAGCCCAGTTTCAGTCTTTTACACATGGTTATCCAGTTCTCCCAGCACCATTTATTGAATAGGGATTCTTTTCCCCAGTGTATTTTTTTGTTTTG